CAGAGCCGGCGCGCCGCGTGCAGGGCGAGCGCAGCGGGCGCGCGTCCCGCAGCCCCACGCCCCTGCCTCGCTCACCGCCCGCACCATGAAGCACATCCCGGTCCTCGAGGACGGGCCCTGGAAGACCGTGTGCGTGAAGGAGCTGAACGGCCTCAAGAAGCTCAAGCGGAAAGGCAAGGAGCCGGCGCGGCGCGCGAACGGCTATAAAACTTTCCGATTGGACTTGGGAGCGCCTGAGCCCGGCGGCGCCGCCACCAACGGGCTGCGGGACAGGACCCAGAGGCTGCCGGCGGTCCCGGCCCCGGCGCCCGAGGTCTTGGACGCGCGGAAACGCAGCTTCACCTTGGGCGCAGTGGGGCCAGGACTCCCCACGCCACCACCGCCGCCGCCTCCAGTGCCCCAAGGCCAGGCATCAGGGGGTTCCGAGGCACAGCCTTTTCGGGAGCCCAGCCTGCGTCCCCGCATCTTACTGTGCGCGCCGCCCGCGCGCCCGGTACCGTCTGCGCCCCCTGCACCCCCGGACTCCTCCGTGCGCCCTGCGCCCCCCACGCGCCCTGGGGAAAGTTCCTACTCGTCAATTTCACACGCAATTTACAATAACCACCCGGATTCCTCGGCGTCGCCTAGGAAACGGCCGGGCGAAGCGACCGCCGCCTCCTCGGAGATCAAAGCCCTGCAGCAGACCCGGAGGCTCCTGGCGAACGCCAGGGAGCGGACGCGGGTGCACACCATCAGCGCAGCCTTCGAGGCGCTCAGGAAGCAGGTACCCGCTCTCCGCCGCACACCCTCACTGCGCCCAGGGGCGATGGCCGGAGTGGGTGGGTGAGTGACTAGAGACTGCAGGCAGAACAGGGCTGTGCTTAAGGGACAGAGTGACCCCACTTGGTCCAGCCTCGGGGCCCAGACAGGTTTGGGCAATCCTTGGACAGTGACCTTTGCCACAGCATTGGTACGGATTTTAGTTTGCAAAGTGGGGACAAAGGTTCGTTATCTCTGGTCGGGGCACACACCCCCCCTCCCCAACCCTGTTTGCGCGTGTGACGTCAGCCTTCATAGTTCACTTTTATGGCAGCGAGTATTTGTCCTCCGGAGTCCCTTATGCACAGTGGGGAGTGGGGAGGAGGCTATTTCTCTGGGGGAGGGGAGGACGATCCTTCCCCTCCAGGCTATGGTGTGGTGGGGTCTTCGCCCCCTGTTCGAAGCCGCGGAGGGCAAGTTTTGGAGATCATAGAAACAAGCGTCCGGCGTCCCTCAGCCCAGAGGAGCAGTGTTGCTCTCTTTTCCACCCCAGCTCCTGGCAGGGATGTCCTGAATTCACCCAGGTTGCTTCTAACCTTCACACCCTTGCCCGTGTCTATAAGGACCTGAACTACAACCCAGCGCCAGGTTCCCAGGGCTGGCCTGTGAGAGCCCTTCCACCCCTGCCCTCGCCCCTGGTGCAGCAGGCAGCGCTGCTGGGGCACTCACTACTGGGGGATTTCCTCCAGGGATCTTCAGATACTAGCCCTGGGGTGACCTGGAGCTTCTCTGGGGCTAGTGGGCTCCTCTCACCAGGAAGTGCCTCTGCAGGGGTGACTAATTCCTACCTCAGGGGTTACCCTTGTCCCAGAGGGGCAATTGACCCTCTCCTGCTTCAGTAAAATTAGCAGCATCCGGGGTTCTAGGCCTCTGGATTTCTTACAGAGAAGGGAGATCTAGGAGGGGGTGGTAACTGCCCTCCCTGATCCCCAGCCCCACCCCAGGTAAGTCTTGGGGAAGGGTTGTGGGTAGAGTGTGGAGTGTTTTTTCCGGGCTCTGTCACTAGCTGTGCGATTTGCTGTGTGATTCCAGGGAAGTTACTCAAACTTTCTGTGCTCTGGCCAGCAATAAAATGTTTTACAAAACATCTTGTATCACACACTCCTCTTCCTCCTGGGGTGGAGTGGCGCAATGGTGCCTGTGTCCATCCACCGGAAGGAAACCGAGTCCCTGGGGAAAAGAGGACCTTTTGCTTTCCAGTCAAAGTGTCTTACTTGGGTTTGGGGGAGGTGTCTGGTCAGTGAGGTGAAGTGGGGGTGGCAGTCAGGTGGCTGTCACAGATCAGGCTGGGCCATTGCCTGCAGCGACACCAGCTGGGACTCTGGGCACTGGGCCCAGTGGAGTAGCCAGTCCCACCATGGGCCAGCAGCTCTGTGTCTGGATGCCTGGGTGGGGGTGATGGCCATGGGGCATCCTGCAACCCACCCCCACCCCAAGCAGAAGGTCACACCCACCATGTCCCCCACCATACTACCACTCTGACAGAGAAACCCCCCCATCCCAAAGGCACTCCTTCCTCCCTCTAGGCCCCCACCCCTCACTTGTAAAATGCACCCCCTGCCTCATCCCAACTCAGGGCTACGGCTCTGGATCTAGACTCAGGCCTGACTGTCTGAAGGGGGCCCTTGGGAAAGGAGGAAAGTGGGGATGGTGGCTCTGCCCCAAATGGGTGTTGGCTGGTGTGACACCGAGGTTGATTCTGGGATTGCAGCTCTGGCCTATGACTTAGTTTCCCCAAGCAGCCGCCTTCTGTGGGGAAGGGAACACTGGCCTGGGAGTCCAGAGGCCAGGCCTTGAGTCGTGCCTCTGCAGCACGCGTTCTGTGTGACTGTGGTCGTCACTTCCCTCCGCGGGCCTCGGCCGGTGCTAACGCTGTAAACGGTAAGAATGCTTATTCCATACCGTTTCCTTGCAAAGAGCCAGGGAAGAAGGGAGCAGAGGCTGTATGAGGAACGAATGTTTCTTAAAGGTCCTCAGGGCTGGGCAAGGTTCTCGACAATTGTAGCAATACGAATCTTTAACTGTTTCTAGAGTAATCATTAAGAAGGGGCGGACTCCCACATGGCCGGCCACAGTTTGAATCTGGGACCTGGTGACTTGAAACTCACTCCAGGTGTGTCATTGCCTCTGTCTCTATCTCTGTCTCTCTCTCTCCTGGGTGAGCACATGTGCTAAGGCAAAAACCTCTCCAAAAAAAGAAAAAAAAATACCATTTACCAGGTGGTTACACTGTAGCAGGTTCTGGGCTAAGCGCATAGTGTTCATTTAATAAAATAGGTGTTGTTATCATGCTCCTCTGTCCCCATTTCGTAGATGGGATCCTCTGAACCCTGAGGTTCAGAGGACCAAAGTAAGTTGGCTAAGGCCTCATGGCCTTTGGCTTCTGCACCTGGGTTTGCAGGCTTTGTGCTGCATACCACCTCGAGGAGCCGTTCAGCGGCCCTCAGTGTGGTGGGCGTCCTTGGCGCAGTGCAGTCACGGGCTGCACGGCTGGCACCGCTGCTACCGCAGAGCCCGGGTCTGCATCAGGCCTAGTGAGAGGCTCCCTTGCCCAGGCCCCTAGCTGCTGCTCCTCAGCCCAGCCCGGGAGCTGTCCACGCTCTGTACAAGTGAGCCAGCCAGGCTCCTGTTTTGCATAATCCACTGTCCTCTCAACCAGGAGGGGAGCAGGGGAGGCAGGCTGCAGGGCCGCAGGGTGGAGGTGCAGGTGGGGAGAGGCCCTCTGGTCTGGGGGTGGGGGTTTGTGGGGCAGATGGTCTGGCCACAGCACATGTCTCCAGCCAGCTGCACCAGAGCCCTCCCGCCACTCATGTGAAAGCCACGTGTGCACAGCTGGGCCTGGCTCAGGGACAGGGCTGCGTCCCGCCAGGTGGGATGGGGTCAAAGGGAAAGGCTTGCCTTGCTGCGTGGGTGATGGGAGGGGCCTGAGCTAGGGACCTCGGTCACCTGGCTCACAAGCTGTGCCCACCCTTGGGGCCTTTGGTGTGCGAGTGG